AAAAGTATCATTTAGTTTAGACAAAGATATTAATTTATTTTTATACAAATTAATTTAATTTTTATATAAATATGTACCTGGACATTTTTTTAAATATTTGTAGTATCAGCTTGTGTTTAATTAAGAAAATCTTCACTAACTCAACTACTGTGTATTTGATGAGAAAACCATGAAACACTTAAAAAGTGAATGCTGTTATACTTACCATGAACATTATCCAGAAAGTTCGTAGTAATTTATGTAAATTTCATATTTTTAGGGTTGTAAATGGGAAGTACATTGACAGTATCTTGGATGTTTATTTGTAAGAATGATTCTTAGCATATAGTCGAGTCTTACCCGATCACGCACCTGTCAATACACACACACACACACACACACACACACACACACACACACACACACACACACACACACACACACACACACACACACACACACACACACACACACACACACACACACACACACACACACACACTCTCTCTCTGCAGGCTATAGCGCGCATACGAGCGAAAACCGACGTTATTTTTAAGCGGACGGGTTGAGTACACACATACAAGAATCATTAAGTCAGTAAGCTCAGAGAGTTCTCCACTCTAGCTTTCAAAATAAGTTTTAGGGGAACAGAATTTAAAGACAATTTACAAGAATAAGCTAATCAATTATATATTTTGTATGATAAGTATCATAATTCAAGCAATTAAACTTTATGTTCACTATGTCAAGATTAATACACAAGGTAAGTCACCACTCAAGAAATTGAGCACACTATGGCTGACTGCCCCTGAAAATCACACAACACCATAAGTTGAAACACCCCAAATATAGATTCACTCACCAAGGTCTCTGAATCTAAGTTCGATAAAGGGAGGGGGGGGGGGGCTACGGTTGATAGAGTTTCCCTCTGGTATGAGGAGGCCAGTCTGGAGACGGGAACCTCTTGACAGCGATCTAACTCTCGTTCCTATTCAATTCTAAGAACATAAGAACAAAGGTAACTGCAGAAGGCCTATTGGCCCATACGAGGCAGCTCCTATCTATAACCACCCAATCCCACTCATATACATGTCCAACCCGCGCTTGAAATAATCGAGGGACCTTTTCAATCCTCTGTGATCAATGTACAGATCCCTGGGTATTTGTGGGGGGAACCGGGAGTTAAGCTCTGCCTACCAGGCAAGATCAAGTATTGAAGATCAGGTATTATTGAAAAATTTGCATACGATCCTACATTGCAAGTTAGGTTACAATTACAAGTTCTCAAGTTAGGTAAACCCTAGACAGCGACTCCTTTGATGGAAACCACACAGCCAACCGTCTGCAATTATCGACTTAGCAGAAGGCCACTTCACACGACCTGACCTGTTGCAATTAACACTCTAGAGGTGTGACTTTTTAATTGCTTAGAGGCGACTGTCTGGCGGCCTCAAATATGCTGTATGACTCCTATTGTATGTGAAGTATTAAACTAAACACCTTTATGATGTTACATGACAGCTGAGTGGACAGTGCTCGAGATTCGTAGTCCTGAGGTTCCGGGCCGGATCGAACAATGGGCAGAATTTCTTTCACCCTGATGTTCCTATTCACCTAACAGTAAATAGGTACCTGTGAGTTAGACAGCTGCTACGGGCTGCTTCCTGGGGGTGTGTAACAAAAAGAAGGCCTGGTCGAGGACCGGGCCGCGGGGACGCTAAACCCGAAATCACCTCAAGATAACCAGGATGAGGTGAAGGTGAAGTGAAGGATAGATGAAATTGTTTATGAAATAATCTAAGATGAGGTCTGATAAAGACCTTTTGTGCCCTCTGTAATGCTTTTGCGCTACCGCTCACAGGATGAGTATGGGGTGCACAATAAACTAGCCGCCTTCGGCGGCAACAATCATCAAAAATCCTCATGAAGCACCTCACTAAGTCCAGTGAATCTTGTGAATCTTCTGTTTGCATGTTGGCTGGGGCAATATGTTCCGTCGTGTTCTGGAAGCTGGCAGAGTGTAATTTGATGCTAATTGACTATTGAATTTTGGCCAATTAATATCAAAATTACACTGCCAACCTCTAGAACACAACGGAACATACAACACACTGCCCCAGCCATCATGCAAACAGGAGATTGACAATGTTGTTGTTGTTATAGATTCAGCTACTTGGAACAAGTTCCAAGTAGCACGGGCTATGGTGAGCCCGTAACTTACCTGGCACAGGAGCGGGGCAAGAAGCACGGGCTATGGTTAGCCTCGTGGACGGGAGATGTCTCGGAGATTGACAAGATGCACTGGACTTATAAGTGAGGTGCTTCACCTTCACCTTATCCGCGGGGATAAGTCATGCAGAAAACACTTTTGTGATCCTTACGGGCTACTCATGCCCGTGCCACCATCTCTTGGGTGGCTTAATCTTCATTAATTAATCAATCTTTGAAACTATTTGAACTCTGCCTTTGACATGTTAACATGAGTTAAAGAAACTCACCTCTTAGCGTCAGGTCAAATAAAACTGTAAAAATGAACTTTGTAGAGGTAATTTTTAAATTTCCTTCTCAAGTGAAGAAAAATAGGAGACGATTCGCGTTAGAATCAGTGATCTCACTCTTCCGGTCACATTCTATATTATATATATATATATATATATATATATATATATATATATATATATATATATATATATATATATATATATATATATATATATATATATATATATATATATATATATATATATATATATATATATATATATATATATATGAATACAGCACATTTAATTTTATGTATTTCCTTATTAATAATCATAATGCTTAAAAAAGCGCCATGAATAGTGGAAAATAACATCGTGTGTTTCAAACAATTACGTGGATTGACAACGGATACCAATAAAAAAATCAAGGGAAACATTTTACATATAATTTATATTAAATATAGGTATATCAAATCACCTAATCCAACCTGCTAACTGGTGTACAGAGGCACACTACCGTACAGTGTGGAGCCGCACACCATTCCATCCTTCCTGTTGGTGTAATATTGTCCCAGCGAGTATTGTATAAATGCAACACTTGTGTATGAATGTGTTGAAGGGTAAGTGATGGTAGGAACATGACCTGTACATGTAGACATGTCAGGTAGATACTCATACAACACCTACATGCTAACACATTTAACACGCAAAATCATACGTGATAAAACAATTCGCTGTCTAAGTTTAGTGACGAGAGATCACCAATCGCCTCAAGTCTCATGTCTAAGTTTATTGTGACGAGACATCACGACTCGTCTTATGTTACTCTTTAAATACAAAACAAACCGTGAAACACACACAAAAGGTTCATGGTCACTTTTCTTAATTTCCAACAAAACCCACTTTTGTATAATCTAGTATATAATCTAGCATGTAATCTTTTGTATACATCTGCAAAATATTCTTGCACAAATCGCATGCATAATGCTGTTGCATAATGCTCCAAGTAATAAGAATATTGATAAAATTAATCATATTATTCCATTAATTCACAATACTGAATGAAATGAAATCGATATCCACGCGAGAGGAAGGAGACTGTAATGGTTCTCTGTAACAGTAAATAAAAGCACCATTAAGTATATAAATAGTCTATTCCTACAGACAAATCATAAAATTACATTCAAATAAATATTATGGTTAAACATGAAGGACAAAAAATCTTTGGCTTGGAGGTTGTTTACAAATAGCATTACCATATATTATATATATATATATATATATATATATATATATATATATATATATATATATATATATATATATATATATATATATATATATATATATATATATATATATATATATATATATATATATATATAAAGCTCGCTCCAGCAACGGCTGGAAGCACATGTTCATTCATCGAAAGTGTTTACAGTTTGTCCATCTTCTATGTAGCTCCCTTATCCATAACTCAGGTGCAAACTCAGACTTGCATATCAGCCAGACAGTACACAACTTGCCTTCCAGCTAGCACTTATACCTGCTATTAGAAAATAAATAGCCTGCCTTTATTCCGTGACTTTATTAACTTTGCGTCAGGGTGGAAACAAGTACATATGAAGAATTGCAAGTCCAGTGACATTAATTTGACATCTTTCTAGTGTGTAGGTGTGGCGAGACGGAGTATAGGTGTGGCGAGACGGAGTGTAGGTGTGGCGAGACGGAGTGTTGGTGTCTCAAGATGAACTCCCGATGCTCTGACTAATGCATATAGCTGTGAGAGAGAGAGAGAGACAGAGAGAGAGAGAGAGAGAGAGAGAGAGAGAGAGAGAGAGAGAGAGAGAGAGAGAGAGAGAGAGAGAGAGAGAGAGAGAGAGAGAGAGAGAGGTGTGTGTGTGTGTGTGTGTGTGTGTGTGTGTGTGTGTGTGTGTGTGTGTGTGTGTGTGTGTGTGTGTGTGTGTGTGTGTGTGTGTGTGTGTGTGTGTGTATTCATTTATGTATAACTAATTCAATGGAGCATATTCAGAGCAATCATTCTTGTCATTATTACACGGTTTTTAATTTTTATTTTCTCAGTAAACACAACTTAATAATTATTTCCTAATCTGTTGTATAAATTAATCAATTGCAGACAGTAAACCAACCAAATCTGTTAATGGTCTAGCCCATACCACCGAGGGAGTGACAGCCTCACTTACATACATAAAACAGGATACGGGTTTAGATCTCACATTATCCTAAGGTAAAAACATGGTATTTACTCTGCTTTGAAAACTTAAAAAAACTATAATCTTATTAACAATGCTTCCAAACCGATTTTAAGCGTCATCAGCAGTGAACAAAATCTTTCAAATGCTACTTTTCACATCTTGATAATTCGCGTTCCGAACCCTTGTTTGCTGGTATCTGTATTGCAATAATTTTGCAACCAATTAGTTTGTCGTAGAACAAAATTATTGACTTCATTCCCCGTTGTTTATAATTTTTTTCCATCACTCGTTGGATATATTTTGCTAAACATTTAGAAACACGTTAAGTTTCCTATACTTTAATGATAATTAATCTTAGACAAGAGGCACTCAACTGTAGTAACTAGTTAATGTCACAGTTATTGTGACAGGTATTGTCAGAGTTGAAGTCACAGGAAATGTCACAGTTAATGAGACGGTTATTGTCACAGTTATTGTGACAGGTATTGTCAGAGTTGAAGTCACAGGAAATGTCACAGTTAATGAGACGGTTATTGTCACAGTTATTGTGACAGGTATTGTCAGAGTTGAAGTCACAGGAAATGTCACAGTTAATGAGACGGTTATTGTCACAGTTATTGTGACAGGTATTGTCAGAGTTGAAGTCACAGGAAATGTCACAGTTAATGAGACGGTTATTGTCACAGTTATTGTGACAGGTATTGTCAGAGTTGAAGTCACAGGAAATGTCACAGTTAATGAGACGGTTATTGTCACAGTTAATGTCACAAATATTATCACAGTTATTGTCACAATTAACGTCACATATATTGTAACAAGTATTGTCACAGTTACTGATGCAGTTATTGTCATTGTTAATGTCACAAATATTGTCATTGTTAATGTCACAAATATTGTCACTTAATGTCACAAATATTGTCAGGGGTTAATGTCACCAATGTTGTCACAGCTATTGTCACAGTTATTCAGCTGCATCAAATACCAGCTTCTGCCATACACTAACCTGAACCTAATTCTTTATACAAAATATCTGAGTTAATAAAGTACAACATCCGTATTCTTCGATCATCAGAGAGCACCATAAATAATACAATCTAAAGACAAAAAAGTCTGGTCCCAATGCCAAACGAGACAGCGACAGAACATCAGAGGGTTCGAAGGTAGGTTCGAACCCTCGTCACGGCCCTTGTGGATTTGTTCATCAGAGGGTCGGTCTGTGTGTCTCCCGGAAACACTATACTCAGGTGTCCTAAGATCACTGTAGTTCTCATTGTCCAGAGCAGGTACACAGGCACTAGTGCATCGTTGGTAACTCTGCAACAATGCCTAGGAAACTACAACTGGGAGGGGGAGGGGGGGGGGAAGGGGAAGTCGAAGCTTGACCCCCAGACTGTTTGGAGAAAGTGTGTATAACAGTAAAGATACTTGGCATTATGGAACATATATTTATAAAGTTGTAGGTACGTGGTTTTTCACTGCATGCTGATTATAGTAAGAAGAGTGAAGTATGTTTTCAGAAGTTTTAAAAAGAGGGGTGGCAGACATTCGACATTTTTAATAGACAATATTTTGTGTCACTTTGGTCAAGAGTTGGCAATTACTCCTCGTTACTTTCCACACTATCATATAAGAGGACGTGTTTCACCAGGAGGATCGTCAAGTGGAAAGTGTGTTTCTAATGGTCTTTGGTGACTTCTCACTACTTCAAACACTTCGTCGTCCCCATCACACTCTTCACCCATCAGAGCTGTGGACTCCTCGCACCCGTCGTGTACACTCGTGATGACTTTCCCGTAGCGGTTCACTCGAGCTGCGTCGAAATCTTCGGAAGGGGATTCAGCTTTGTCTTCATCGTTGGGAATTACAATGGCAGGAGTTGTCACGTTAGTGAAGTAGAGTAGTTCTGTGCATCGCGGTGAGCGAGGCAAGTGGCCGTCAGAGGGAAAGCGTGAAGGACTTGTCTGTGAAGGAGTCTGTGGAAGTAAGGTTAGGCTCACACATTTCCCTCTTCCTGGAAAATGACTAATTGAAGTGGGCGAAGGATCAGCGGACGTGTGCACGTCCACAAAGGGCCCCGTAACAGTGTCGTCGCCATCTGGGTCTCTCACTACACTGGTTGAATGGGAGGAAATGGTGCTCAGTTTGCGTGGAATGAAGGTAACAGTAAGTCCTGCCATCGGATAGCAAGGATTTAAAAATTCTTTATTGGTTTCATGATCCTCCTCTTCGTAGCTCTCTTGTTCATAAACACATGAGAGGTTGTCAGGGCGCTGGTGCAGCGGACAGGATACGTCTGCCTGGCCTGCTGCTGCCTTATTGGGTATGTATGTTTCACGTTCGATAGCAGTCTGTCTCTGTAAACGAGGTTTAATTCGAACTGCCGATGTAGTTGGTGCTGAAAGTTGGCCGGATGCGCCAGACTGCTGCCTCACCAGCAATGCTTGGTGATGGTTAGTAGGTTGTCGAGCTGACCCTTGTGGCTGACAATCTCCTCGACGTTCTCTTAGAGATCCTAACCTCAATGTCGGAGCTCCGTCATTTTTACCCACACCTCTTGAACCGCTGCTGGAGATATCAGACGACACAGAAGACCGAGATATTCGCCACGTAGATGTTGAGGCGGTGGTGGCTGAGGAGTCGTTACGAGATGATGATAGGTTACTCTCCTGGGAGGGCTTGCGCGTCAAGTACCAGGAGTTATGGCGCCGACGGTCAAGTATCCGTAGGGACATGGCTGCTTGACCCCGACGCCAAGTATCCGACCACGAAGAACTGTAAGTCTCGCTTGAAACCGAAGTTTGTCTTTTAGACTTGACAGCACTTTTGGTTGGTTGATAGCTAAAATCACTCGCAGAGTTGAGCTCTTCAGTATCTTTGTGACAGAAAATATATTTTAGCGCTGATATACGCAAACGCTGGTGGAATTTCTGTGGTTGCTGTGTCTTGCTCTGGCAGCGACAAGACTGGTTATCCTGACGCGAGGAATTATCCAGTGCACTGTTGGTGTTGGCGGGAGTCTGGCGGTTACTAAAATTTGATGAATGACGACAACGTCCGATCCCTCTTGTTACACGAGACTCTTCAATGGTCTTGCATAACATCACACAGTCTTTCTTAAATTGTTTTGTTAGGAGAGCATATAAAAATGGATTACAACAGGAATTAAATGGAAGTATGAAAACAGTGAACACTTTGGCCTCTTTTAGTGATATTAGCTGTAATCCAAAAGCAGCAGTAAGAGAAAAAAAGGCAATTGGGGCCCAGCATATAAAGTCAGTGAACACCAGGAGAGCCATCCTCTTAGCAATTCGCGAGTCGTTGCTGTTCCATGCTTGAGAGCCGCGGATAGCACAGTATATCTTGAGATAACAACCCATCAGGATAAGAAAGGCAACGCCATTTATAAACATAAGAAACACTACATAACCCAGACCACCGCCTTTGGTCTCAATGGGCAGACAAACGGCAAACTTGCGATAATCTGAAACACCGATAAGCGGCAGGAGAGCCATGGTGCAGGCGAAGAGCCAGCCCAACACCATGATATAAGCTGCGTGTCGCAGAGAGAGACGCTTGTTGAGATGCATGGCGTGAGTAATAGCGTAGTTACGCTCCATTGTGATGACAGTGAGTGTGTAGACGGAGAGTTCGCAGCTCATTACCCCTAAGAAGCCAGCCACTTGACAGCCAGCTGACGTCTGCCAGGGGATGGCGTACATGCGGAACTCTCCCAAGGTCGAGGCATCCACGACCGCCAGGAACCCTGAATGTTATTTCAAAAGCTTGAGTAGTGGCGATACTTCTGATTCATATTAACTTTCATATTACTTGTATAAGCAATAACATGTTTCTATATGTTTTGAACATCTCAATTATCACTTGATAAAATAATAATGTGCATTTTATATATTTTATATAACTCAAATATATAGTTACAGTTTCCAGAATAGGATAAATCTTATAATCAGAGAAAACATGACTTTATGCATTGGTATTTATTATAGCGATACAGTTAAACTAAGACATTAACTCACCAAGGTAGAGACCCATAAAGAAGTCAGCAAAAGCAAGATTGGCGACGAGGAATCGTGGAACGTCCATCTTGGCCCTGGCGAAGGTCAGCACCACCACCACAGTACCGTTGCCTAGCAGCGCCAGCAGGAACACAATCCACACTCCGCACCGTAGCGTCCACCAGTCAAACAGGTCCTCACATGGCATGAATGGTCCTACCGGAAGGTATAGCATCATAAGACGTGTTGGCACCACACACACTCCAGGGGCCAGATTCACGAAGCAGTTACAGAAGCACTTACGAGCCTGACTTTTCTCTGTCTACGAGCTTTCCTCGTAGACAGTAATATTACACCCCTTCCAGGTGTAATATTACCGGAACTGACTCATGAATCTCTCCTAATTTCAATGGTAATGTGTCTTTCTCTAAAATGTTAAATTTACCTTTCTTACTCACCTGCAACCATCTTACTCTACTGAGCTTAAAACACACACACACACACACCTTAACACACATACACACACACACCTGCCTCACCTAACGCCACTTGACTAATTGATGTAAGTGAAATATTCTGAGAGTATGGTGGGTAACTGAGGTACACTGAGAGCATAGTGAGTAACTAGGCTACACTGAGAGCCAGGGGGGCCAGATTCACGAAACAGTTACGCAAGCACCTACGAACCTGTACATCTTTTCTCAATCTTTGGCGGCATTGTTTACAATTATTAAACAGTTAATGAGCTCCGAAGCACCAGGAGGCTGTTTATAACAATAACAACAGTTGATTGGGAAGTTTTCATGCTTGTAAACTGTTAATAAATGTAACCAAAGCCGTCAAAGATTGAGGAAAGATGTACACGTCCGTGAGTACTCGCGTAACTGCTTCGTGAATCTGGCCTCTGGTGGGTAACTCACCTGGCTCAGGGTTGCAGATGACGTGGTGGCGAGGCAGTGGAGGGAGCGTGTGCGTGGCGGCCGTGGCGTCTCCGGGGTCCTGCGAGGTACCGCCGGCTTGGTCGGGACCGGCTGGAGGGAAGTCAGCAGCCAAGTTAGCCCAAATGGCCGCAAAGTTTGTGCTCAAGCCTGCTACATACCAAATTCCAGGCAAGGGAAGAAAAACGGGAATTAATACATGTTAACTTGTGACTTAAAGTCGACTGAGGCAGAAACATACAAAATAAATATTCAGAAAGAAAATCGATTGATTGCAAAATATTACATTTTGATGTTTGTTATGATTCATCTAACACCGGATGGGTAGAGAGAGATATTCTTCAGGTTATAATGACCAATCTGGTCTACGACTACTAACAGACTAACAACGGTAGAGCCTAACAACGAGGGGGATGTGGTAGGTACAGTGTAACAGCCAACGATTTTCTCTCTTATTATTCTCCTTCTATTTTATTCTCCCTTCTCTTCCTTCTCTCCCCGTTTTCCAGATTTCTGGTTTGACAACGGGCAGGATGTAGTCATATATTGGTTGACAAGGGTCAACTCAAACAGTCTGTCAGGTTATTTGAGTTCCCTAACCATCTGGCGTGGGTACACATTGGCCTCCTGTCCTCCTTTTGGCCTTCTATCCTTTTAATTAGCCTTGCCGAGAGGTACCTCCTTGGAAGTTTCCCCGTTAGTTGCTTGGTTAAAATCTTTGGTTGTCAGTGATAAATAAAGCATAAAGCAGGCACTATGCTTTCTCGTGAGAATATGGCTGACCCTCTGTCATTGGTCATGCCTAGCAATAGGCCTAGGCTTTGCTACTGGCCCTTGGATGCTGTGGAAAATTCCCATATCAATATATAAACTAATGATAAATAATTATAATTAAAATTATTAATTACAATTAATAATATAATTAAACACCGGTAGATTTCCCCACAGATGTCCAGGGAGGGGGAGGCGTGGTTAGGGGCCCATAGGACAGGTGTTTCATAGCAAGTTGTGTATGAAGAACTTAGGAAATTTCGTGTGAGGTGGGGAAGGAGTGAGGAAACCATGTGTGCTGTCGCTCCAGGGAAAAAACCAGTTGTGCCATCCACCGGTTGACAAGGTTGTCGTACAGTAAGTAACTATAGTACAGTAAGTAACTATAGTACAGTAAGTGACTATAGTACAGTAAGTAACTGATTAAGATAGACACTTCCCAAATTTTATTGATAGTATTTCACACCATCTGCCAATAGGGCATTTTAAAATAGGGTACACTAGATTTTTTATTAATAAATTCTATATTAAGTCTCATTTAGCATTTTAGTGCATTTTTCCTGATCATTAAAGTGAGCACAAATCATCTGGAGCTTCCTTGGTCTTTGACATTTATCAGTGATTCTCCAATTCATATGTTAACTAAGAACACTCAAGTAATCATCAGTCAAATAAAAACAGTCAAAACAGTCTTACAACAGACTCAACATAGCCAGCAGTGATGTTATGGTACGGGGGACAACATGGGACTATAGTACGGGGAACAACATGGGATTATAGTACGGGGGATAACATGGGATTATAATACGGGGGACAACATGGGGGCTATAGTACGGGGGACAACATAGGGGCTATAGTACTGGGGACAACATGGGGCTATAGTACGAGGGACAACACGGGACTATAGTATAGTGGACAACATGGGGCTATAGTACGAGGGACAACACGGGACTATAGTACAGTAAACAACATGGGGGGCTATAGTATGGGTACCACATGGGACTATAGTACAGTAAACAACATGGGGGGCTATAGTATGGGGAACAACATGGGACTATAGTACAGTAAAACATGGGGGGCTATAGTATGGGGAACAACATGTGACTATAGTACAGTAAACAACATGGGGGGCTATAGTATGGGGAACAACATGGGACTATAGTACAGTAAACAACATGGGGGGCTATAGTAGGGGGACAACATGGGACTATAGTCTAGATGTAGGCTCAAGCACGAGACCAGGTGAACATGGCAGACAAATAGCTTTTCATTAAGGATAAATGTCAAAATTTTGGAAATAACATAATTGGTGCAAATAAAACAACAAAAATGATTAAACCAGTTACCTGTGTGAAGACCGGTTTACAAGAACATGTTTACGAGAGGAGGAGCAGGTCATATAGGACGGATACTTAATAAATAGGCTTTTAAAAATGGGTTTACTATACTTGGGGACAGGCTTATCGCCGTTTCCGCGATAAGGAACATCAAACAGCATTATCGCGGTTTCTCTGGCCATTACCAGGTCGCAACTCACAACTTCAGAGTACCTGTTTATTGCTAGGTGAACAGAGGAATAAGTAGACAAAAGAAAGTGACAAGACGTCTCTGTCCTCCTTGTGGGAATCAAACCCGGGATCTTCCTTTTGTAATCCGACTGCGCTAACCACTGTGCTACGAGGAATTCTCCACTAGTTCACCAGGTGACAGACAGTTTGGGTCAGGTGCTTGCTTGCCATTTACTGCATGATACCCCACTGATTGGCAAGTGGAGAAGCAGAGCAATAAGAAGTATTAAATCATTTAAATTGGATCAAGAAGGAGAAAATTTGCCAAAGAAGTTGGACTTAGCAGAAGAAATGAATTGGAACTTTTGTTAGGAGGCAATGAATGCTGGCAGAATTTATAACACGTATGTTGACCAAACCACACACTAGAAAGTGAAGAACGACGACGTTTCGTCGCACAATCGACTTGAGAATGGTATGGAACGGACCGAAACGTCGTCGTCCCTTCACTTTCTAGTGTGTGGTCTGGTCAACATACTTTAGCCACGTTATTGTGACTCATCACCTGCAATGTAATACAGTTTGTCGTACTTCTTTATAATAGCTGTACTTAGATGCTGCGAAGGACAGGTTTAATCTTATTACATGCGAGACGTTGTGAGCTTGGAACCCTCCAGACACCCACCAGGGCCTGACGACCCAATTGCAGTGATGATTTGCTATGGAGCTGAGAACCCACACCATAGTTTAGAAGTGGGAGTGAGGAGGGACTGAAGGTTCCATAACAACAATGACAATCTCAGTGACGTGTTCAAGACACGAGGACACGTCGCACGATTAGAAGCAATAGTTACCTCACTGGGAATTAAGGACAAAAGCTGTCTTAAGATGATCTTAAATAGTTAGATTCATCAGGGGAAAGGCAAAGCTCAAGACTTTGTTGGAGTGTTTGTTTGATGGTCTGGAATACGTGTAGGCCTAGCATATGACGTGCAGGTTACTTTATGACATGCAGATCACATCATATAATATACAGGTCATGTCATATATGCCTTTCAAATCATGCCATATAATATGGAGGTTATGCCATATAATATAGAGGTCATGTCTGGTGTAGGAAGCAATATGGCAGTGGTTGGACACAATATGTACTCACACTGTATGACACACGGTACCTAAACTGTATGATTGACGACGTGTGTATATACTTTGTACGACTCACGACACGGATACTTTGACTCACGACACAGATACTTTGACTCACGACACGGATACTTTGACTCACGACACAGATACTTTGACTCACGACATGTACACACTGCACGAGACACTGGGGATGTGCCACAACGCTTCAGCCCAACTCACCCATCTCGGGCCACACATTGGTAACATTCCAGATGGTGGGGTCGAGGCCCGGGGGGAAGACCACCTCTTCACCGATGGGCGGCGCCTCCGTCATGTCCCCGAGCCTGTCGATATCGGGCACAGGGTCAGAGAGAGAATGAAAATAGCAATTTAAAAAAAACATTTTCTATTAGTATTATTATCACTGCTAGAATATTATCTGTATAAAAGTTCCATCCAACTGTTTGAGACACAGCAAGTACGTGGTGAGACAAACTGTTGTTGGTGAGACTTGTGTATAAAGAGTTGACGGAGCCGAAGGTTGTCGTGTGAGTGTATTGCTACGGCCTAGACACACCACGTTAAGGCCGCGGTGTGTGTGTGTGTGTGTGTGTGTGTGTGTGTGTGTGTGTGTGTGTGTGTGTGTGTGTGTGTGTGTGTGTGTGTGTGTGTGTGTGTGTGCTTCTTGACCAGACTTGAGGCTGTGTTTTGATATTGCAAGATATTAAATGTTCTCACCACTTGCCTAGCAATAATGCCAAGTTTGCTTAGAGTAACTGTCATTTTTCGATAAGTTCCAGCAGTATTGCAAACCACCGCCACACAATTACAGGTGAATATTTTTTTTTTCATTGGGCAAGACAGTGTTTTAAATTTTACATGTGTACAAATGGCAGAACTGATAACATTGTTATTGTTCCTAATCATTTACATGTGAATGTTCGTTCATGAGGTGTTGTAGTCTGTAGTTGCAGCACCAAATGAACATAATAGTAACAGGAGCAGAATGGGGGAGAGGAGACGTACCTGAGAAAGGGGCAGCAGTGATAAGCATAGGAGAGGGTGAGGGACCTGACCATGGGGAAGCTCTCAGGGCCAGGGAACACCCTCAGGTGGCGGTTGTTGTGGACCTTGACGGAGACCACGTGTTCCAGGCCTCGTGCAGGCAGCTCCGGGAAGCAGTTGTTACCCAAGTTACTGCGGACCACCAACACCAGAATGTTTGGTTTAGTAACCAAGAGTAGTATGCAGGCGAGGAGTCACAATAACGTGACTGAAGTAGTTTGACCAGACCACACACTAGAAGGTGAAGGGACGACGACGTTTCGGTCCGTCCTGGACCATTCTCAAGTCGATTGTCCACAATCGACTTGTGGATAAGTCGACTTGAGAATGTCCGTTCGTCCTGGACCATTCTCACAATCGACTTGAGAATGGTCCAAGACGGACCGAAACGTCGTCGTCCCTTCACCTTCTAGTGTGTGGTCTGGTCAAACCAAGAGTAGTAGTTACATATTATAAACAAAATAAACTGTCACTCTGAGGCAGTCCACTACTGGAAGAAAATATTGTTATTTACTCTTTTTATTCCCGAGATTTTTATTATAATTAAGAACATATTTGTCCTGATCATTGATGATACTGTCCATGATCTCCCGCAGCTCATTGATGATCGTTGCTTCATGCTCTGTGAAGGGATCAACTTTTGTCGCATTACTGATGAACTTTCACTGCTGATATGGCAGAAATTCTTCAATGTGTGTGTGTGTGTGTGTGTGTGTGTGTGTGTGTGTGTGTGTGTGTGTGTGTGTGTGTGTGTGTGTGTGTGTGTGTGTGTGTGTGTGTGTGTGTGTGTGTGTGTGTGTGTGTGTATGTGTGTATATTTACTATTTGTGACTGCAGAATCGAGCTATTAGCTCTTGGACCCCGCCTTTTTAACTGATCTATTTTTTCCTCTATTATACTCTTGGACTATCTTCCTTGCTGGCGGTTGTCTATTGCAATGACTCTTGTCTTATTCTTGATTGTCTTATGCGACTGGTTGTCATGTCGGTATCACTACACTCCCAAATGCCAGCGACTGGTCGCCATGTCTGTGAAGTCAACCATGATTCAGGATGAGAGGAAGTAAACAAAGATGTTGTTGTTGTTGTTTTAGATTTAGCTACTCAGACCGAAGTGTCCATGTAGCACGGGCTATGGTGAGCCCGTAATAAACAAAGAGTTGGGAGATGTTAATTAACTGGTGATGATTTAGTGTGAGGTGAGAGAGAGAGGAGTGTGAAGTGAGAGAGGAGTGTGAGGTGAGAGAGGAGTGTGAGGTGAGAGAGAGGAGTGTAAGGTGAGAGAGGAGTGTGAGGTGAGAGAGAGGAGTGTGAGGTGAGAGAGGAGTGTGAGGTGAGAGAGAGGAGTGTGAGGTGAGAGAGGAGTGTGAGGTGAGAGAGAGGAGTGTGAGGGAGACGACGGTGAGGAACAGTCCCAGGTCATGTGAAGGTAGAAATTTTAGACTGTTCCAGGCAGGAGAGCTAGCAAGATAAGCCGCAATATTAAATTCTAATTGGAAAGCTGCCTAAGGAGTCTAATCACCTGGCAGGTGCCAAGGGCCACAACGAGCACATGATCCACTGAACAATGTGTACAGGTTAACATTCATGGGAAGTGTTCATATCAGGCTTCTCATTTGAACAAGTAGTTCGTCTGATGTCCTGTTTCTGGGAAGGTTCTTCCTCCTGATGATGGCTCGGCTCCACATAGGTCTACCCGGCGAGGCCGAAGGGGCGACGAAAGCGTAAAGAGTTCAGTAGCCAGGTGTCGCAGCCGAGTGAGAAAATAGATGATAAAGTTTCAGGAGCGGAGGCAAGTCTTCGGGGGCTGAGCACACTCCGGCGGACCAAGGTAATGGTTGGGACAACACACTGTTCTCGCCTCACGCTGAGCCGGGACCCTGTTTTCCCCCTCCTCTATCCCTCCTTTCCTTCCTTCCTTCCTCCTCCTGTCTTTCGTTCAGCTCTTCCTGCTCCCTTTCACTCTCCCCATTTTATTTCACTGACTGACCCCGCTCCAATTCCAACGGCAGTATTTCAGTATATGTTCCCGTTCCTTCCCTAATTTATTTGTCCACCACTTGGGCTGGACAGTAGGGGGGGATGACACAGCTTCTTGCAGGTCCGCGTTCAATCCCTGACCATCCAGGTGGCCGGTCACCATATCTTTCCTCCATCCAATCCTTACTCTGTCCTAATGTTCTTTCCAAGGGCTATATTGTCGTAATGGCTTGGCGTTTTCTTCTGATAATTATTTTACCTTCCTGTCTGCCTTCTTTCCTTCTTGCGCGTTCAAGGCCAAGGGTCGTGTTGCCTGCACTGGTCAGCCTTCAAGGCTGAGGGTCATGCTGTATATAAACGTCAGCCTTGTCAGCTTGGCCAGCATTAGTATATGAGAAACATTCTTAACACCACTGGCATGCATTTTCTACTCCTGACCGAGAATGCACGCTAGCTCAGTCAAAGCTACTATTTATACATGCCCTTTGGGGGTACCATGTAATGAGCGGTATGGGACTCCATCTCATAACAATTACAAAAATGTTAATTAGAGTTATCTGTCACCGTCAGTAACTGTAATTCTACACCTTCGATCACATAAAAACAATAGCAAACGTTCCTACTAGTTGCTATCAGCGTGTGCATTTGTGATATGTCGTTTTTCTATAAATATGATATCCTTCCTTATGATTTTATTTAAGTCGTTCTGTTTATAAGTATCCATATGTAAAGTAAAGCTCTTGCCATCCGTTGAAGTCATACTGGTAACTAATAGGACTGGCGATGATGGTGATTTTAACAGTCTGGTGGCTGTGGTGGCAGTCTGGTGGCTGTGGTGGCTGTGGTGGCAGTCTGGTGGCTGTGGTGGCAGTCTGGTGGCTGTGGTGGCAGTCTGGTGGCTGTGGTGGCAGTCTGGTGGCTGTGGTGGCAGTCTGGTGGCTGTGGTGGCAGTCTGGTGGCTGTGGTGGCAGTCTGGTGGCAGTCTGGTGGCTGTGGTGGCAGTCTGGTGGCTGTGGTGGCAGTCTGGTGGCTGTGGTGGCAGTCTGGTGGTTGTGGTGGCAGTCTGGTGGCTGTGGTGGCAGTCTGGTGGCTGTGGTGGCAGTCTGGTGGCTGTGGTGGCAGACTGGTGGCTGTGGTGGCAGTCTGGTGGCTGTGGTGGCAGTCTGGTGGCTGTGGTGGCAGTCTGGTGGCTGTGGTGGCAGTCTGGTGGCTGTGGTGGCAGTCTGGTGGCTGTGGTGGCAGTCTGGTGGCAGTCTGGTGGCAGTCTGGTGGCAGTCTGGTGGCTGTGGTGGCAGTCTGGTGGCTGTGGTGGCAGTCTGGTGGCTGTGGTGGCAGTCTGGTGGCTGTGGTGGCAGTCTGGATACAAGAATATAGCCTCATCCTTAAACAAACCAACAGACATTCCTCTGTGTCCACTTGTCTCATTCTTTCCCGCCATCCCATTCTCGTCCCCTCTCCTATTTTCTGTCCTGCTCATTCTTCCTCCCACCCATTATCAATTCCTATTCTCCTTCTCTCCCATTCTGCCCTCCCACCAGCACTCTCCCAATGGGCACAACATACTCAAGAGATGTTGCATCAACTTACATTCCTAAAGTTGATACTCAGCATGACGGTACCTGGATTCAACATTCATCCATGTTTCAGTGAGTGCAACTGAAGCTACTTCACCTACACATAATACACAAATGCTTGCTGATCCATAACTTATTTAAACTTACTTTAATCCGAGATGTGTTTGTGGCATGGCTGAACAACAAACCCCCACTTTTAAATATTTGGAAGTAATAGACGAGTATATAGAGTGCTATAAAGGGAGTATATAGAGTGCTATAAAGGGAGTATACAGAGTGCTATAACGGGAGTATATAGATTGCTATAAAGGGAGTATATAGTGCTATAAAGGGAGTATATAGAGTTCTATAAAGGGAGTATATAGAGTGCTATAAAGGGAGTATATAGAGTACTATAAAGGGAGTATATAGTGCTATAAAGGGAGTATACAGAGTGCTATAAAGGGAGTATATAGAGTGCTATAAAGGGAGTATATAGAGTGCTATAAAAGTAGTGTCGAGGTGTAACTTACATGTCTTCGAGGCTGAGGAGGGGCAGGAAGGCGTCCTGGTTGATGCCGGAGATAAGGTTGTCCTCCAGCTGTCTGTGTTACACGAGAGGTTCACTCAGTAACTCGTCACGTTAATTATAATTTGTTTCCCTCCAAATTTTACGCAGTTTTATTTGGGTGAAACAATTTATTATTATACCTAATTCGTCACCTATTACTGCATTAAAAATATACTTTACTGAGATATAATAAACAATCAGAAATCAATTATTTTATTGAAATAGATTATATTTTTATATGAGAAATAAGTAATTATTTATCTTATTATTTTATATATATATAAATGCTGACTATGCTGAGCTTACAGATCTGAAATACCTTAGTGAATGACGCAGGTTCGAATCCTCGTCACGGCCCTTGTGGATTTGTTTACCTTAGTGAATATTACTTCAGTGTGAGAGAAGGGCAAGGGGGCTTGAACTTACAAGACCTGAAGTCTCTCTAGGCCGCTGAAGGTGTTGTTGTGGATGCTGGCAATGCGGTTTCCCTGCAGAAGGAGATCTTGAAGATAAGAGAGGCTGCCGAAGGCGCCCTCTGGGAGGCTGCTGATGTTGTTGTTGCTCAGATCCCTGTGGACAGATGGCTAATGTAATTTGCGGTAAACTAACCTCAATAGACGCGATGTCAGTCATTCAGATAACACTCGTGAGCTATACACCACTTGTACGAGACCTGCCAACATGTGCTGCACGATTCAGGCGACCTGTGTCTATTTGTAATATTCAGGATATCTGTGGCCAGTTGCATGATAGAGAAAGCCTTACATGACGGGTCTAGCTGCACGATCGGTGACAACTACTATAATGTATATAGCTGCATGTTCGTGAGACCTGGTAAGGCTCTAGCTGCATGTTCCATGAAACCATGTATGATGTGTTTAGATGTACAATGAACTAGACCAGGGATTGAATTAGATGACGCACTCGCTGATTCAACCGAGCCTTGAATACCCAACTAACACAGTTGAAGTTAAAAGTATTGTATATATATAAATATGTAAATTACTCTCATTTCTAAATTATGCAAATAATTGTCGGTTATGTCCAGTCACAGGAAAGTACTTGTAGGGCCCCAGAGTGTAAGAGGTTTGGGAAGCATCATTTTGTTACCAGAAACATTGCTCTGTCTTGGCTAACATGAACAGTTAATGGAGAGTGTTGGTCTTACAGGAAAAGTATATCCTTTTGGTTTCTTGTCAACTGTTCCCATTTCAACCACCTTATACTTGCTGGTGTTGAAAACTTAAAGCCATTTCTCGGACCAATTATGAAGCTTGTCCAAGTCATCTTTGAGAATCTTACAATCTTCATCTGTTTCAACTCTTCACGTTAATGTTTCATCGTCTGCAAACTTCGCAACCGACCCTCCTAATAGAGCTTTGCAATTTGACGTACATTTTACCTAAGGGGAAAAATTGTCGTACTAGATAATGGTAGTGCCTTGCGAAATTGACATACTGTCCCGGTTTCTATTTGAGGTCCTCAGGGTTAGGATAAGGGTACTTAAGTACGACAGTACGACAGATAGTACGTTGGGAAACGTTAGGAGAAAGTGCTGAACATCAACATATAGAATTTTGCTCCCAACTGAAAAATAGTACGGGTCCCGGCAACAATCCTTGAGGTACTCCTTTTGTTATCCTATGCCAGTCTGACTTCTCGCCCATCACTGTGACACTAACTTCTTGTCTGATAGGTGTTTCGTGCCCCATGGCAATGCTCTTCCAATTACTTCCGCCTATCTCTTAAGTTTGTGTTGAAATTTCTCCTGAGGAACTGTAACAAATGCTTTTTAGCAGGTCAACGTTTGCCCAATGTTCAATGCCTTGTTTTCGTTACTTTATCATAGTTCTATTTAACATAGAACTCCAGTAAGTTCGTTAGTTATAATTTCCTTACCGAACAGCCATGTTGATGTTTGTTTATATACCTAAATCTCTCCGTGTTTGTAACTCGTTTATTTTTATTTTTTCGACCATTTTGGTGTAGATGTTTGTCAATGATACTGGTTTATAGTTTAGTGTCTCCTTCCTATCTTCTTTCTTGTAGGGAGAGTGAGTGAGTGTGAGTGTGAGTGTGAGTGTGTGTGTGTGTGTGTGTGTGTGTGTGTGTGTGTGTGTGTGTGTGTGTGTGTGTGTGTGTGTGTGTGTGTGTGTGTGTGTGTGTGTGTGTGTGTGTGTGTGAGTGTGTGTGTAAAAAGGGATGAGCCTCAATATACTCACAGTAGTCGGAGATCACGACAAAGGGTGAGGTCCGGCATGATGCTGATCTGGTTCCTCTGCAGGTTCCTGCAACATAACATGTTCACAGTCCGGCAGATACAAAAAATATTTGTAAACAAAATACTAAACTAAATTATTTCAGATTATTCATGATGTTTTAAATCACATTATATCGTAAGTATATACAAACAGGATGTGTAAATACAATTGTTTTCAAATGTTATTAAATAAGTTATAAATATAGACAAGTATGTTTTTTTTACATTTAAGAAAACTATACTTAGTATTTTCTACTAGATATAGTTTTATAAGACCTCTCGGACGCAGGTTCGAGTCCTCGTCACGGCCCTTGTGGATTTATTCATTAGTTTTATAAGTATTTGTTATAATGACACTATACGACCTTCTTCAATCACGTCTTGAACTATTACGAAACTTTACGAGTCCCCTTTGGCTCTGTCTCCAGCTGTTACGACACACTGACCTCCACCGACTACTGCGATACCAATGTATATGTCCTCAACTTACCCAACTTCCTACTAACTAGACTGCTGATGATTGATTGATTGATTGATTGATTGATTGATTGATTGATTGATGATGCCACCCAAGAGGTGACACGGTCATAAATAGCCCGTAAGTGGTAAATTTTTTGGCGTGAATGTGATTTGTGGTCGTGAATTTTTACGCAAATTCACGACTAAAGATCACATTCACTCCACAAAATCTACCACTTATGGGCTATTCATACCCGTGCCACCTCTTGTGGTGGCATCAATCATCGGCGGTCTTGTTAATAGGAAGTTGGGTAATATATCATATATGTAATATGCCAAAAGACCTCCACTGCACATATATCCACGTATTATGACGTCGCATACCTTCCGTCATCCGCGTCTCCCATTGACATAATACAAGTTCTACTCCTGTCATTTTTGTGACGTCATATACAATCCTGATTCATTATTGTGACATCATATAATGGATGCTAATCCTGTTGGATCCTACCATACTTTAATGCGTGTTCCAATCCAGTCTGATTCTACCATACCTTAATGTGTGTTCCAATCCTGTCTGATACTACCATACCTTAATGTGTGTTCCAATCCTGTCTGATTCTACCATACCTTAATGTGTGTGTTCCAATACTGTCTGATTCTACTATACCTTAATATGTGTTCCAATCCTGTCTGATACTACCATACCTTAATGTGTGTTCCAATCCTGTCTCATATTATTCAGTACTGGTCTCTAGCCCTCTATTTCTCTTCCTTCCTACGCCTTTCCCTTCACTCTGTGCAATGTGAGTTTGGCGTTAGTGACTTTGGGACTCAACAGATGGAGTGGTGGGTGCTGGCAGCTTGTTCTGCACCTGTTTCCTGCTCCCCTTCCTCTTCTCTTCCTGGTCACTTCCTCCTGTCCTTGTAGTTGTGTTAGTGTATGTATTACAATGTTCTCCATCACTATTACCCTGTTGCTGTGTTCATTACCTTCTTCTCATTATCTACTTCCTTGTTCTCCTCGTCTTTTACTGTGTTCTTCTGTTATATAACCGTGTTCTGCTTCTGTAACAGCTCCCGGGCATGCTGAGTAAGTACTTACTAGAGAGGAGTAAGTAAGGTCCCCCCTCGGGTAAGTACTTGGGGGGGCCAGGTACTTACTTACAGGGGGACCAGGTACTTACCTACAAGGGGCCAGGTATTTACTTACAGGGGGGCTAGGTACGTACTTACAGTGGGGCTAGGTACGTACTTACAGGGGGCCAGGTACTTACTTACAGGGGGCGCCAGGTACGTACTTACAGAGAGGCCAAGTACGTACTTAAAGGGGGAGCCAGGTACGTACTTACAGGGGGAGCCAGGTACTTACGTACAGGGGAGCCAAGTACTTACAGGCTGCGGAGTCTGGGGGCGGAAGTACACAGGTCCCAGGGCACGGTGGTCAGGGCCGAACGGTCAATCCTGATCAACTCCAGGCTGCTGGTGCCGTTCAGGTCGGGGAACGCCTGCAGCTGCTTGGCCTCCTTCAGGATGCTTGTGGGGAGAAGCAAAGACGGTGTAGGTGACTTGTTGCTTTTCACTCGAGCAATAATACGGAAATTATCAAATATTATTTTTAATAAAATTATTTTTCTCTTGATTCGGCAAAAAAAAACTTCATATATGAAGGTGAAATGGTGTGATATTTACATTAATATTTAAAAGCTGAGGTTTTTGGTTGGAAATAATTTACAAATTGACAGAAGAAAAATATAATTTTAGGGGGGGTAGAAATAGCCTAAGCTACTCTATCCCTTTGAGATGTATTTCTTTCTTAACTCAATAAACATACTTGAACTTGAATAAAATTTTATTGTATTAATATGGAATACAATATTTTGCGAGACACTGAGAGGTTCATAAAACAATATTCCTTAACATCAGTTATATAAACAATTAATGACAATTATTAAGACACTAAGGACTCTTTATCTATTAACTTAATCAATTAGCTCCAGATAATTCAGTAATAACTCAATTAGCTCCAGATAATTCAATAATAACTCAATTAGCTCCAGATAATAACATAAATTTTGCTGGATGAGCAGACAAGTCTGAGGTGGATGATTGTCAGGGGTAAAGCGCCAAGCCATTCCGACTATATAGATGAGTGGATGAGTGACTCACACAGTTACAGCCCCGCTCCTGCGCCAGGAAAGTCCACTACGGGCTCACCATATCCCGTGCTACTTGGAATTTTTTGTTCCCAGTAGCTGAATCTACAACAACAGTGACTCACAGTTTAGTGAGGGCGGGGAGGTTAGTGAAGGCGCGGTGGTGGACGCTCAGGACAGGGTTAGACTGCAGCTTCACCTCCTCCAGGTGAGTCAGGCCCTTCAGCGAAGTCTCCCCAACGTAGGTCAGCCGGTTACTGCTCAGCAATCTGACGGGAACCCACCAGAGTTAGGTGGCTGCTGAGTAAGCCATCTTGGCTGTATAATACCCCCAATATGCAGGCGATGAGTCACAATAACGTGGCTGAAGTATGTTGACCAGACCACACACTAGAAGGTGAAGGGACGACGACGTTTCGGTCCATCTTGGACCATTCTCAAGTCGATTGTGAGAATGGTCACAATCGACTTGAGAATGGTCCAGGAAGGACCGAAACGTCGTCATCCCTTCACCTTCTAGTGTGTGGTCTGGTCAACAAAATATCACCAATTCCTACGTAATCAAATTTCCCTCCCACCGTTGTAAAGGGTGACAACTGGGGGCTTGTGTTGCAGATTGACGTGTTGTGTGTAAACAGTCGTGGCACTCGTTAGTCATGAAATTAGTTAATCTGAGCACTATTGACCTGGCACTACCGTCCTGGCACTCCTTATTCTAGCTCAATCGTTCTGGCACTTCTCAATCCTGGCACTGCTAATGTGTATAAGTGCGTATATAATGCAAAAGTAGGTTCAAATTAGCTATTATCTACAATGTGAATTGACAAGCAGTGGGAATATTGCAGTCATGAAGTAAATCAACTATAAAGTTAAGATAATCATATCCAATAATATGAAACTAATTAAGGTAAAGTCGTTTGTAGAAGGTGAAGTTGGCACTTACAGCTGCCGTAGTTTGGTGCAGTGAACCACCTCCGCTGGCACCTCCGTCAGTAGGTTGTCCTGCAGGTTCCTGTAAGAGTTCGACCCCATAAGACAATTGTCTTTATAAAAAAAAAATACTTGTATAAATCTTGTAATCAGACCCTACATAATATTTCTGAATAAATAAAATATTTTATATTATTATTAATAATGAATCTGCCGTCCTGAAGTGTTGTGACCTAGAATACTGTACAATTAGCTAGATAATTTCTTAAGTCATACAGACAAGTAGCGCGAATAGTCCAGTCAAAAATTCCAGCTTTGTCAAGAATTTTCCTCAGACTCAGAATGTGACATTCCTCAGTCAAATCCTTCAGTTCAGGGTGTGGCCGAGGTCTGAGGTGATGTAATGTACGGCTGACGAATCGCCAGTTGCCAGGTTTTGAGAATGTCAGGAGGAAGCCGTGGCTCTTCGTCCAAGGAATTCTAGCAAGGACCTCTGAGTTCAGCCCGCTGAGTTGGCGAGTCACGCCAGGACCTTGGAGTTGGAGACTGTCCTCAGTGGAGGCCCGGGGAACGGGATCCCCGAGGTTGGGAGGGGGCATTTCATGCAACTGTGTAGAGTCGAACTAGTGTACGTAGGTGTATAAGGAATCTACCAAAGGGGAAATGACATGGGTAAATTCTGAGACCGGGATAAAGGATGTTAGGTTAAGGTACTTGGAGCAGTTGAGGGTCTATTGTATGGTCTGTGACCATACAATACAATACAAGTAATACAATACAGGCTCCAGGGAGTGGATGGCTATGGTCTGGGAGTGTGACGTATGTGTATTTAATGTAAAGAATGTATATTTGAAGTATACATAATAAATACCAAATATACTTGGGTTTCAGTAAACTTTCCTTGTAAATACATGTGTCATGAGCCAAACGGTACATGTTAGAGACTTGTTGTTATGTTAACATGGGCAATGATTTAAAAACGTATAACTAAATT